CTATCTATCTATCTATCTATCTATCTATCTATCTATCTATCTATCTATCTATCTCACCATCCTATTTTTTTTTAAGTTTTCTATAGAATCGAATCTTGGGTTTTCCTTCAGATACATCATCTTTTAAACATCTAAGTATTTTCCTTCTTTGCCCCTGGAACTCTTGAAACGTTTGGACTATATTGCTTTAACAATACATATTTTAATTGTATACAGTACCAAGCAGATAATTCAGATAAATTATATTCAAAATGTAACTTCTCAGAATCCTTGAAATAGCTGTTACTAATCAATTGATTCATGGTATGAATCCTTTGTTTAGCCCAAGACCATTTCCTTTCCTTCTAACTTCAGATTTCTCAGGTGAATCCAGATCAAAATTTAACTGCTACCCAATTAATACCCAGATCTGAATTCAGGCTGTAGCAATTAAACAACATTTTCTCATTCTCTTACAGCAGTTCAAGTTATCTGAATATGGCATGCAGCTGAAAAATAATGTGACTACCATTTTCTGACAAGGCAGAAGTCCTTAATTAAGAACAATAACAACAACAACACCTGTTTCTGGCTCCACTGAGAAATATGGCTGGCCTTGGAGTATGCTGTAGATAATTCTGGCACTATTTCCATAAGAAGGGTCATCTGCATCAGTGGCTGTGACTTGAACAACAGAAGTACCTAGAATATTCAAATGGGACTTAATTAGGTATCATGTCAGAAGTCAAAAACAATGCCCTTCTTTTTTTCCCATAACTCTGTTCATGAAAACATTTATCAACATTATATTTTGACCAGAGAGCTGAGGGACCTAGAGGTAATTATATTATCTCTCCTGCAGTAAAAATGCAAACATCTCAGCATTAGATATTCATGAGATTCATGCTGCCTACTAAAAGCAGCCATTCTTCTTTCCTTTTATTCTCTTTCCCATGGAAAATGTTAGTATTTTCTTTTGCACACCATAGAAATGCCTTTCCCAGATAATATCCTAGAATGTTCAGAATGGCATTCCTTTCATCAAAAGGCTCTTTTTTGT